GGGGTCTTTCAGCATGTTTGCATGTTCTTCCTGAGCATGCATGGGTTCTCTCTGGGTACTCCGGCTTCCTCCCACAGTCCAAAAACATGACTGTTGGGTTAATTGGCTTCTCTAAATTTCCCTTAGTTGCGAGTGTGTGTGAATGGTTTTTTATCTCTGTGTTGCCCTGTGATGGACTGGCGACCTGTCCAGGGTGTATCCCGCCTCTCTGTCTTGACAGCTGGTAGGGAGGGAGGGAGGGAGGGATGGATGGATGGATGTTGCAGTATCTATAGCAACCCAAACACACAGCATTTCAGAGTTAGACATCCCCAACATCCCTTCAGTTATTAATTTCATACACTCACCAGATCTGAACACCCTGTTAAAAAACTTCACACCCATGAGTAGAGGTAATGCAGCCTGATGATATTTACTCCGCATCAGATACTGTTCCCCCCATGTTAAGCAGGGCGAACGTTATCTGATGTGTTTTAGAAGCCCATCAGATAGCGTTCCCCCCATGTTAAGCAGGGGAAACGCTATCTGACTGGGTTTTACATCAGATAGCATTCCCCCCCGATGTCATTTACGTTGAGTTGCAATAAATGCAAAACTCTTTACAGGTACTTGTCTTTGTCGTCCACTCTATTCAGCTGGCTTTAGAAACACACGGCGAGAAGGTGGGGGCCGGTTGGTGAGGGTTACAAGAGCGAAACGCACAAGTAACGCAATAGTTACTTTTACTAGTGACTAGTTACTTTTCTTGTGGAGTAACTCAGTTAGAAACTTTTTGGGAGAAGTAACTAGTAACTATAACTAATTACTTTTTCAAGGTAACGTGCCCAAGACTGTTTATTTTTTTCTCTTTTCATACTGTTTGGTAAGATTTCACCAAAAAAAAAAACACAACTTTTATTGCCTTATGCTTGAATAAATCATAGCGACATCCATAGAGCTAAAGTGAAATTGTATAAAAAAGGCCTTCAAAAGCTGGTCTGAATTTATTTTCTGGTTGGTTTTTTCTTAGGAGTTCCATACATTTCTACAGCAGTAGTTGTGGTCATCATCTTAATAGGTGCTGGGGTCGTCATTGGATGGAGAACCAAACGTGAGAACCCAAAACTTATATCTTAATATATATACAATATTAATAGGAAAATATTATCACTCTAAATGTTTAAACCGAGCCTGATGTTTTACAGGAAACAAACGGCGGGTGCATTATAATGCTGTGAGTGTAATCACATCTTTAACCAATTAAATAGGAGCTCTTTGAAAAAAATTAAACAGTTTTCCATCTGGCTGTTTTCTTTGTTCAGGATCAGAATGTGAATCCTCCAGCGTCTCCCACTGGTGGGGAATCCAGTTATGCGACGGTAAGAACAAACACAACCCTAAATACACACAGCTATTCAGGAAACTCTGGCACATCTTGTGTTTTGTTAGCAATAACTAACACTGAGCAGTTAGATATTAAAATAGCTGCTAAATCCAGAAACAGTACAGATTGAATATCCAGTAATTCCACATTTCACAGAAATAAAAGTATATCTTTCTTTTGCAGCTTAATCCTGAAGATGTCCACTATGCCACCATTGGTGAAGCTCAAGTAAGTTTTAATTTAACTTTGACTTCAGCTGATATGTCGACACATAACACTTAATTTCTAGAAAGGATTCAGTCTGATACCAGCATTTCTTCCAGGTCCAGATTTATTCTGACATGAAATGGATAAAAAAGATAGAGGAGGTTGTTCCATGGTATGGGATGGTTTAAAACAGAGAACATCAGTTTCTATTCAAAATCAGAAAATGACCAATCAGGTTTATGTTGGATGTGTGCAAAGAGGAAAGCTTAGCTCATTTAAAAAGAAATGTCTGAGCAAAAATCCTGAAGATCAGGCTGAGGATTGATCAGCAGGTCATAGACGTTCAGAACGATTAATAATCTTTTAGCACAAATTAATCTAAACTTTTATTATTTAGACCCAGAGCATGAGACATGTTTGCCATAAACCGAATACAGCACTTATTAAAAAAAACCTAGACAGCTTTGAAGCATGAGGGTGGCTGTGTCATGGCCCCCCTCGTTTCTTTTTCTTGTTAAATGTAAAAGAAAAGAAATAACTGGGTTGAAATAAAGCAGATTTTTTTACTCAGACTAAAAGTGTCTCATCTAAATGAAATCTCTTTATCAGGTTGCTGGTGACGAGGACACGGTGACCTACAGCACTGTTGGAGCTCCTCTTATGTCTGTTGCAGCCTCTTCTCCTGACAACTCCCATGCTGTCATCTACTCCCAAGTCAGAGAGGTTCAAAGAAAACCTTAACAAGTGATGGTTTGTGTTAAATTGATGGCTATGAATGAGTAAAGGAAAAATATTATCACAGTTTTATTTCAGCTTGCTAAATTGAGCCTAAAGCAGGCATCCCCAAAGTCGGTCCTCGAGGGCCGCTGTTTGCAGGTTTTCCAACAGGTACCCGTATAAAATGTACAGCTATGGCTAGAAAAAAAACCCCTGTGTGATTTCACGGGTATCATAAGTTACAGCATAAATAAATTTTATTTTTTATGTTTTATAGTGGGGAAGTTTTGGCCTAGTGGGGTAGAGCAGTGCGCTTGAGCTGTGAGAAGGTTGCAAATAGCCGGTTTGATCCCCTCATTCTCCACTCTGGCTCCCTGAGCAAGACCCTTAACCCCACACTGCTCCCTGGGCGCCACACAATGGCAGCTCACTGCTCTCCAGGGAGTGAATTTCCCCATTGTGGGAGAATAAGAGAATTTATATTTTACATTACAGTACATTTATTATTTCTTAACATCTTAATAAATAAATTGATATAAGAATATCCAGTGGTGCAAACGTTCTTAACTTTGGTTAATTTAGAGCTGTTAATCTGTGACCACAGATGTTCTTTAGCATTCTGCTGCGGCTGGAAAAATAGAGCATGTTGTGTTTATGCATTAAAACTGCTGTGTGTATATTTTGTAATCACGGGTCGGGTCGCACTTTATTATTTAGGGGTCTATGTGGTTCTGGGTTTTAAAGAGGGATTATTGCGGGTAATGGATAGGGTTTCCATTCTGAACTCTACAGGTGCAGCCAGACACAGTTTTGAAAAATCAGACCCGTGCAGGACTCTGACTTAGATAGTCTTTAAACCATTTATGGCTTAGCTCCAAAATTCCTTACAAGCTTGCTATCAATGGATCCACAAGCAAGACCTCTCAGGTATTCTGGCTCCAATCTACTTTATCTACCCAGAACCAAACATGGAGAAGCAGCTTTTAGTTCTTATGATCCTTTAATCTGGAATAAACTTCCAGAAGACTTTGAAAGCACTCAGTCTCTCAGTTGTGTTAAATCAAGACTAAAAACATATTAGTTTAGAGTGATCTTTCACTAGGCTATCTAAGCATTATTTATTAAGCATTAAGTCCAAAATTCTTATCATTTTCTCATCAATCATTTTATCATTATTTGTTATATTATCATGATATTTGTTTCTCTATTTTCTCTTTGTGTCAATATTTTATTGCCTTTATGCCACCTTAATGTATTTTGCTTTTTTTATGTACAGCAAGTTGAATTGTCTTTCCACAGAGATGTGCTATTATAAACATTTTAAGACAGTTGAATGTAAAAGTTGCTTTATTTTTGTCCTTAAGTGTGTAACTATACAGTAGTAGACATTCAAAATTTCCCCACTTTCCTCGATTGGTCCTTGGCTGGTCCCCTACATTTCTTTTTTAAAAATCAATCTTTGTACTAAAATCTTCTTTATGTCATGATTTGTAAAAATATGCAAAGGGAGGATACTCCAGTCGCTGGAACTTGGAGGGTAATTCGCTGGGAGTTGGAGGGACGTGGGCTGCCATTCACCTGATGTTTGACTATGAAAGGCCATTTTTTAATGGCTGCTACTGTAATTTCAGAGGTTTTTAACGTGATTTATCATCCTCCTGCATCCAATTCCTCCCATACTTAGTGGCTTAAGATAGGCTGACCAGCTTTGGGCTTCTGAAAAGGAGGACACTTTTTTTTTTTTGAGGGGGGGGGG